CTCCTCTTAGTGTAGGTTGACAAATGCTGGCACTCTGCTGGCTCACCTTTCTCACTTGTCACTATCAGGGCCCACGGCTCTTTCCTGTCACACCCATGACATGCTCCAGGAAGGTTTAATGTGACAGAGGTATTTGCTTTATCACTGCAGAGTGCAATCTGTCCTGACAATCAAATCAGACACAGAAATTTACCTGGATCTGATCACATTCCATCAGTCAGGACTCTGTCATCACATTCACTAGAAAGAATAAGAGAAGTTACTCATCCTTTCACTTTACATCTGTGAAAGGTAGTGGTGATGTACATATCTTTGCTGTGTCCAATTTTGTTGCTGTCCTCAGAATTATTTTTAAGGGTGAAAGCACGTTTAGCTCTCCCACCTGACAGGTCATAAGTGGAAGCCAAGAAGATCAGGTAAATGGTGCCTCTGTTGGGGCAGCAAATCACATCATAGCCAGGTGATAGCCTGCATCTCACATTCAGCCCCCGTGGTTGTTAATGTTTAGCCACTATATTTCATGTGCCTCAGCTTTCTTAATCATGTTCATAAATAGTAGTTAACATATTTTTCCATGTATAAAATGACACTTTTTCCTAACATAATTAAAGGAAAAATTGAGGGTCATTTTATACAAAGAAGTAAGGGGGGATCAAAGCACTTTGATCCCCGCTTTCCCCCATCATCAAAGCGCTTTGATCCCTGCTTTCCCCCATCCCACATTTTGCAAAGAAAATGGAGGGGGAAGCATCACTGCATTTGCAATGAAAATATAGGGGGAAAGCAGCTTTTTGCAAAGAAAGTGGAGGGGGAAAGCAAGAATCACTTTCCCCCTCTACTTTCTTGCAAAGAAAGAAATTTTGGGTTAGAAAAAGCGGGCATCTTATACATGGAAAAATACATTATACAGTGGCTGAAATCCTGCTGCATTGTTACACAAAAGGCAGGACATCAGCAAGAATCACTTTCCCCCTCTACTTTCTTGCAAAGAAAGAAATTTTGGGTTAGAAAAAGGGGGCATCTTATACATGGAAAAATACAGTATATAGTGGCTGAAGTCCTGCTGCATTGTTACACAAAAGGCATAACAGGACATCAAAATTAACAAGTCATTGCTGGGATTCTTGGGGGCTACATGCACCCAGTGGCTTGGTGAGCACTTGAGAATCCCAGCAGAGATTGATTAATTGCCATCTGGGAATGAGTGAGTACTAAGCCTTTTGCTTTGGTGCATGCAGAATAAAGCAACAGGATTTTTGTCAATGTATTATATATGGTAGTAATAAGAGAGGTTAGGAGTTCAATTCCCCACTGTGCCTCCTTGACATGGACTGGTCTCGATGATCCATAGGGTCCCTTCTAGCTCTGCAGTTCTAAGATTATGTTTATTATTATCATTAATATAATTATTATTATAAAAGACTGGTGTTACTTTGAACTAGACATGGATGCTTTGTATTCATATTCAGGGGATACAGATACCACAAGGGCCCATGTCTACTTTGAACTGACAGCTCAATGATATGCTTTCTTACATCCATGATGTGTTTTACAGGAAAAACTATACTTCAGCTAGGAGAGTGAGCTTGAAAAATCCTGTTTTAAATGTTACTTTTGGAGGCAGCCTTAGACATTACTGCTCTCACCCTCAGTCTTTCATCTGCAATATGCAGGCTTTCATCTGCAATAACCCTTACCTCATAGGACTGCAGCGTTGTCCTACAGTTATGCGGAGTGAGACATCTGCCTCAGCCAGCACATTTGTGGTGTCAATATTTAACTGACTTTTGATACTATGCATCTTGACTTGGGTGGGTGGCAGGCAGTATGTACTGCTCCATGTTGGGTCGGCCCTGTAGGGTTGTTATAAAGATTGTTGTTTCATGCTGTCAAGTTGCCTCTGACTTAATGTCAACCCATTGAATGTGCTGTCTCCAAAATGTCCTGTCCTCAAATGCCCTGCTCAGCTCTCACAAAATCAACACTGTGGCTTCCTTTAGGGAGTCAATCAATCTCATATTTGGCCTTCTTCTTTTCCTGGTGCCATCAACTTTTCCCAGCATTATTTTCTTTTCCAGAGAATCTTGCCTTTTCTTGAAGTGCTCAAAGTAGGATAGCCTCAGTTTCATCATTTTTGCCTCCAGAGATAGTTCAAGCTTGATTTGCTCTAGGATCTACTTGTCTTTCTGGCAGTATCTGCAAACTCTCCTCCAGAACCATGTTTCAAACAAATCACTTTCCCCCCTCCTGGACAGCTGAAAAACTGTCCAACTTTCGCACCCATACATAGTGACCGAGAATACAGGAGTGTGGACAATCTTGGTTGTTGTCTCCAGTGACACATCCTCACACTTGTCTATTTTTTTAATCCCTTCATTGCTGTCCATCCAAATCTTAGTCACCTTCTGATTTCTTGGCTGCAGTCTCCATATGGATTAATAACTGAACTAAGATATACAAAACTTTTAACAATTTGAATTCCTTTATTGTCATCATTAAGGCTGTGTAGTTCAGCACTTTCTTCTTTCACTTTCCTTAAAAAAATGTTTCAAGTCATAGCTGCTTTCTGCCAGTAAGATGGTATCATCTGCATATCTTAAATTATTGATGCTTCTTTCACCAATGTTTACTCCTCTTTCATCTGAATCCAGTCTGGCTTTCCATATGATATGTTCTGCATACATACAGATTGAACAGACAAGGTGTCAAGAAACGGAAAAATAGGGGATTGTGGCTTCAGTTGGCCTTTTGAAACAAAGGCCTTGTAATTCATCTTTATCTAGTGCAGCTTTCCGTATGATATGTTCTGCATATAGATTGAATAGATAGATTCTTTTTGGAATCCAGCTTGCATATCAGGCACTTCTTATTCCATATATGGAAAAAACTTTAGTTATACCTTGAGCATCACTTTGCTTGCATGGGAAATTAAAAAGCAATGTCCCCCCCCCCCTTGGCATCACCTTTATTGGTGATAGGATTGTACATTGAAAGTTGCCAGGGTCATTATTTTTTGTCCAGCTTTCTTGGCATATTCTTGTTAAGGTTTTGACAGATTCAGTCTCTAGGGGTTGAAATAGTTCTATCGGTATTCCATCTACCCCTGGTAATTTACAGCTTACTCCTTTAGGTAACTTTATACAAATTTCTATAAAGGCCCAACTAGGAATATTGTTGTATCTGGAAATGACTTATTTTCAGTCCATGAATCAAATAGAAATCGAAGAAAACAAACATTTTGCCTGTTTATATCTGAATTATTCCATAAGATTCTTCAGTAGATTGTAAGAAAACATTATTTTAAAAATAAACTTGTACTCTCTAAATAAATGTTGGTGGACAGATATAAAGATATGTGAAACAATAAAGGCCTGCCCAGGCCAGCAACGTGACCACATTGTACAGAAAGAGAGGAGAACATGGTGAGAAGTGTCCATGGAGAGAATGACAAAAGAATGAGGAACAAAAAATAAGTATAACATTTTAAAAGAACTGTGCCACAAACCACTTGTGAGACCTAGCTTTGTAAGATTCCCCATGTTCCATGCATAAGAATCTTTACTTAAATTTGAGAAATAGTTCAAGATCCAGAAAATAAAAATATACGTAATTTTTTTTAAGTCTCAGGTTATAAACTTGGAAAATAAGTAATTTTTTAAAAATATGGTTTAAGAAAATGCAGTGTGCATATCATGACTTAAGATGGCTATGGCTTCCACATTTCCTTTCACAGTATAACCAAAGGTGCTTTATTTTTATGAATAGAGAAAGTAAAAGGCAAGTTATTGAGAAATGAGATTAAGATAATAAACTTCAATTAACCATGTGATCGGGTTGAATTAATTTTCAGAAATCTTTTAGCAAAGACCTTTACCCACATGAGTTCAGTTCGCAAGTTTGATACTTAGATCAATATTGAATAAGTAAGAGTTCATTGCATCCCCCTCTTGCTTTATAAAAAAAACAAGTGTAGGAGAATGGAGCCAGGAGGTAGATTGTGTCTCAGTTGCAGTGGCTCTGGTGTACATTTAAGATTTATTTTTCATCAGTGAAGATCTCTGTGGGCTAAGGTGGTCCCATGTTTTTCCCTTTCAGAATATAGAATGTGAATGTCCGTGCAGAGTGCTCTCTGACAGAATGATGTATCCTCTACTCTTACGTTCACTGACTACCCTTAGAACTTTGATCACACCCTATATTGTGATATAAACACATTCAGGCAAACATTGCTTTTCTGTGTTCTAGTCCAGTGGTCCCCAACCTTGGGCCTCCAGATATTCTTGGACTGCAACTCCCAGAAGCGTTCACCACCATCTCTGCTGGCCAGGATTTCTGGGAGTCCAAGAACATCAGGAGGCCCAAGGTTGGGCATCACTGTTCTAGTCAACCAACATGACTTTTATTTGAATCGTAGGATTGAAATGGGTTCATAGGCCATCTAGCCCAACTGTTTGCTCAGTGCAGGAGCCAGAACCTCCCCGCCAGATTTGATATATGTCAAAAATCTGCTTTTCTTTGCCAGACATTTGGCTTGGGTGATATCTGTGAGGAGCAGAGCTTCTAATTACATTCAGCGCTACCTGCTGTATCTTTTGCATAAGCTACTATGTTAGTTTCTCCTACCTGTTTGCTTTCCCATATTTGCAGAGGCACTGTTTCTCTCACACCTTGGCAATGCATTAACTTCATTCAGTTGCTATATGGGTGTGGGATATTGATATAATTTTATTTAATTTAATATTTCTATCACACAATTCATTTCACAGCGCTGTCGTGGTGGCTTGTGTTTTGTAAGAGTGTATGTTAATTCATTCTAGGCCTTCTTCCCATCATTTCTTTTGGCAACGAAAGCGTTGCATGAAAATATAACTGGTATACTGTGAGTGGTGCCTATATTTTACCTCAGATGCTATTTGTGTAATTCAACAGGCATGTTTATTGTTTATGATTGCACTTTTAAGGAAGGGAAGTGTATGTGCATGTCTGTTTATAAATTTCAGGCCTGATGGAATTGGAACTGTGACAGCTGAAGAGAAAGAAAGGTTTGAAGATATTAAGGAAAGGCTTTCTTCCCTCTTAGAAAACCAGATAAGCCACTTCAGGTGAGTGTTTGCATTCTTCAAGTTTGACATACACAACCCTGTGAGAAAACAAGGGAGCAGTGAGTTAGGATTTACAACCTAATGGAACATTATTTTGAATAACATTCAGTTTTATGTAAAATCATTAAGGCATTTTTGAAATACGTATTGCATTCCGAGATGTTTTTAGTGATCAGTTTTTAATCTACCTGGCACTGCAAGCTGTTTTTGAACTGTACCATTTCTGTGGGGAACTAGCCAGATTAGCCTGGGTGACACAGATCAAAATAACAGGGCACATGGTACCACAGATGGCTCAGTGCATCTACAGTTTCCATCTTTCTTTTTAAAAGACTTCCTTATTTAGTACTGAAGAATTAATTTTTACCAGTCCATCATGGCTCTTTATCAGCAATATAAATTAGCTAGAAATCTTAACATAAATTAGGGCCCATTTTCTTTTGCCATCCACCCCATTTTCATTATTACTGATACCAGACAATGGACTGTGCCATAAAACCAAGAGAATGTATCAGTAATGTATACATGCAAAAAAAATTCCAGCTCATTCTAGAACTACTCTATTTGGAATTTGTCCTGCCAGGTGATACTATGTAACATTTTCAGCTTCCTCTCCTGCCATGCGCAAAGGGTCCAGGACTCACTGCAGTACAGGAGTGTGCTCAGGACACAGGCTCTATAGACCTGGATCTTGGTATATGCCGTCAACTTCTTATTAAGCCATACTCTCTTTGTGAGCCTAGAGAACATGATAGCTGTTTTGCCAATGAGTTTATCCAGCTCAACATCTAGGGAGAGAGTGTCAGAGAATACTGAGCCAAGGTGCACAAAGTCATAAACAACCTCCAATTCTTATGTAGAGATGGTAATAGAGGGAGGTGAGTCCACGCCCTGGCCCGTGACTTGTGTTTTCTTCAGGCTGATTGTTATTCCAAGGTCTTGGCAGGCCTTGCTAAAATGATTCATGAGGTTTTGGAGGTCTTCAGCAGAATGGGCAACATTCTCCTGCATAATCGTGGGGTTACCTTTGAGATTGCTGCGGAAACTACAGGTGGTGCAGAATGCGGCGGCCAGACTACTCAGTGGACTGAGAAGATACCAACATATCTCACCCACTCTGGCCGCATTGCATTGGCTGCCCATCTCATTCCGCATCAATTTCAAAGTGTTAATTCTTACCTATAAAGCCCTAAACGGTTTAGGACCTCGATACTTGGCGGAACGCCTTCTCCCACCAAGATCTACCCGTGTCACTCGCGCGAGCCAGGAGGTGAGGCTGAGGAGCCTAACGCCGAGAGAGGCCCGAAAGGAAAAGACCAGAAACCGGGCCTTCTCGGCGGTGGCTCCTCGCCTTTGGAACAACTTACCCCCTGAGATTCGCGCGGCTCCCTCACTGGGTATTTTTAAGAAACAACTAAAAACACTGATGTACAGGCAGGCCTTCCCGACAGAAAACCCTTGACGATTCTTTCTTCTAATTTGTTCTCTATCTTTACTATGTCCTACCTATACAGTGGGGTCTTGACTTGAGAACTTAATCCGTATTGGAAGGCGGTTCTCAAGTCAAAATGTTCTCAAGTCAAATCTGCATTTCCCATAGGAATGCATTGAAAACCATTTGATCCGTATCTGCTCTTTTCCGTCCATAGAAACTAATGGGAAGCTGCTATTCTGCCTTCGACCACTAGAGGGGGATATTTTGTTTCTTTTTTTCTTAGGTCAAGAAAGGTTCAGGGAAGGCAGGGAAAATACAGTCCAGGCAGTACAGTACCAGGCAGTCTGAAGACTGTCTCCCAATCCACTCTCTAAACGCTGGGAGGAGTGAGGAAGCAGACAGGCACCCTTTTCACTGGCCAACAGTTAACTGAAAGTTCAAATTTTGCACTTTCCCTGCCTCCCACGTGGTTTTTTTTAGTTCTTAACTCAAATCTAAGTATGTAAGTCAAGTCAATATTTTCCTATGAGAGCGGTTCTTAAGTCAAAATGTTCTTAACTCAAGCCGTTCTTAAGTCAAGACCCCACTGTATACTGGCTGCTTCTGATCAGAAGACACTACAGTATTTAAATGATGCCAAGAATGAAACATACTGATAGAAAAACAAAGCATGTATTTAATTGGCATAATATGGGGGAAAAAGCATATTAATGTGCATACATGCAAATTTGCATAATAGGCAAATAAGGCTGCCTAATAATAATTTGTATAATATGCAAATAAGGCTTCCTGGGTTTGGAGAAGTAGAGTATGGCAACCCTAGTTGTGACCCATGTAGACCATCTGGCTCTTGGAACAAGTCCATTAATTCGTTTGCCAGAATACTTCATTTCAAGGATGAGAAACCAATCATTAATTTGAAAGGCAAAGCTCATTTCATTCACCCAGGTTTTCTAGTATACAAGTTTAGAACACAAGGGGCAAAAGAAAGCTCTGATCTAATCAACTAGAGATGCCAACTAGGGAAAAGTCAAACTATCTCAAGTTTATCTTCACCACAAGCTAGTCTTACTCTGGAGGAGGGATTACTCCAAGGTTTTAAGAAAAAAAAATGCAGCGCCAGGACTCAGCTCTCAATCAGTAACAAAATACCCCCAAAATATGTACAGTGGGTTCACCTCACAACCTCAGCAAACGACAACTACTTCAAGACTAACTGCCAGTCATTTATGATGGAAACACGCAAACTCCTTGCTAATTCCTTGAATTGCCCCTATCCCAGTCACAATTAAAGGGAAGGGGAGCATTCCTTAATCAGAAATCAGAGATCCCAGCTAGAGCTAAGGATGTCATTGTTTTACAGTTAGCTCCTGAAAAGGAGCCTTATGTACATAGGTAGGTATTCAAGATGTGAGATGACAGATAAAAATAATGAGCACAGACCCTGAAATTTGATTACACTGATGGGGGTGCTGCACTTTTGCTTTCTTACTCTGATATGCTTTTAAATTACTTTCTATATAGTTGATGTTTTAATATGATAATCTGATTCTGTGTTTTAGCATTGTAGTTTACAGGTTTTAAAATGCATTTTCCCATGATTGTGAGCTGTCTCAGGTCCCACTAGTGACACAAAGGCATAATATTTATTTGTTACATAAATAAATAAATAAATAAATAAATAAATAAATAAATAAATAAATAAATAAATAAATAAATAAATAAATAAATAAATAAATACATACATACATACATACATACATACATACATACAT